TTGCAGTACTTCTTTTTCACCACAAGATGGCCTCAGCCTTCAACATTAAATGAAACCCAGTTTCATTCAACACTGAGGACTGAGTATGAATGGAGGGCATCATGGGCTCGCCCCCTGAGAGGGCGGAGTTATCTCTGCATCCTTCATTATCAGTGTATTATTGCAGAGAGTGTGCTGCTGCTGGCGGACTATGGAGGCTGGAGTTGTTTTTTTTTTACAAGCCTTCTTTATGTGTATAATTTGTAATTATATGTACATCAGGGCAGCCATATTTCTTCATATATTCTGTGTCGGTTTCCTACTTTGTACTGCTACACATGGGATTCAATACAGCATCGATGCAAGCAGAGTCTGCTAAAGTCTCTTTAGCTAACCTATTAGGGCCAGTTCACACTAATTGCAGTGCGTTCCCGAGCAGTAGATGCTGGAACGCACAGTAATCGCAAACTAAACTCCCCCCTTCGTTCTGGCGTGGGAGAGGGCGTGACAGTGCATTGAAGTCAATGGCACCACAGCCACTCCCCCACACAGGCAATGATTGCTACGCGTCCAATTCCACTGTGTTCCGGTCCAGTGCAAACGCAAAAAAATGCTGCATGCTGCAGAAGGGAGGGGAGAGTTTAGTGTGTGATTACTGTGCGTTCCAGCAACTACCGCTCTGGAACGCACCGCATTTGGTGTGACCTGGCCCTTAGGGCAGGGGGTGGGCAACTCCGGCCCTCCAGCTGTGATTTAACTACAGCTTCCAAAATGCCGCTGGGTGTCAGGCCTGTAACTGTCAGTCTTGCAATGCCTAATGGGAGTTGTAGTTCCACTGCAGCTGGAGGGCCGGAGTTGCCCACGCCTGCCTAAAGGTGCCCATACACTCTACAACCCTTGCAAGACTTTTGTCTTGCGAGGGTTGTAAAGTACTTAAAAAAAAACCTAGGATCTGCCCATCTTGGACAGGCAGATCATACTTGCGATCATCACACGCCCGCCCCCCTGAGGGGTGTGCGCACACCGGACCGTTCGGCAGTGATCTCTCGATCATGTTAAAAAACAGCCGAAAATCGTACGATTCTCAGCTGGTTTTTCAACATGCTCAATATACAAAAGTGGTGCGACCGTACATTAGAAACGGTCGCACGCCTTCCATACACTGCACGCTTCTCGTACGATCACGGGATTTCCCAAAATTCTCATACGAGAATGGTGCAGTGTATGGGCACCTTTAAGGAGCAGGAATTATTATTTTTTCCCTGCATTATCTGTTTTTTTTGCCTTCCTGTGGATTAGTTGTGGGTGACTGAGGGGATAGGGTTTTGTTTATGGAGATTTTCTATTTGTTTGTTTTTTTCCCTATTGGTTTAACTCAATGGACTTGTGTCTTGTGTATGTAACCATGCCTTTTTAAACAATACAAAGAAGCAATGTTTTTAAAGATATTAACACACAATGATAACAATATTTTACAAAGTTAAAAGTTAGTGCAAAGCTCACGATTTCTTTCAACAGCCAGTAAAGACTCTTTGTGCCCCTCTCTGATTTGGGTTAACGGTGTTGAGCCTGTCTTGATTGGCTTCAGGCAAATGTGGTTTCTTTCAGATGCATTATGCTTTCATTGAGATGCTTCTTAAATCATTCAGCGTTATTCACCGGTGCATTTGATCTGCAGTTGACCCCCTTTGGACCTGTATTTGACCATTGTCTAAGCTGCATCAAGCTGTTTTTGCATTCACATTAACTTGTATAGGGAGAGGCGCAGCTCTAATGTCAACAAAAGCCCATCAACACAATACATACCTGGGGCCTAAATTTCCCAGACTTCATGGCTTAGGCAACCGCTATCTCACTGGTCATAAGGAGCTCCATGTGTTTTGACGATTAAATATTTGGACTGCATCATGCTTGGTGTGGCGCTCCTTCCTTTCCAAAGTGTATTCAGCATAATAGAAAAACCAACATGTTTTTAGGGGCTTCCCTTCATTACAGCAACATTTGAAGGACATATGACATACAACAGATATACAAACACGGTTCCTGCATTTTGCGTGTTTAATGCGGCACTTCTTCTATTCCAGACCCTTGTTTGAAACATCTTTCAGAGCTTTACTTTTGTCCTTGTCCTGCCTACCTAGAGTGAAATGCACCGATCCATACATCCAAGAGCAAGAATTAAACCTGCACTGGAACCAGTAGTAGGAACTTAGCCATTAAGTCAAGCCCTTCAACACAGTGAAAATAAACCAGAGGTGGGCACAGATGAAGCTATTATGGCTGATAAGGTGGCCATCTTGCAGTGTTTTAGATTGTAAGCCCTTACGGGCAGGGCCCTCCTTACCATCTTGTCTTGAATTGTGATGCGCTGCACAAACTGTTGGTGCTATATAAATCCTGTATAATAATAGGGCATTTTTTACTTTTAAAAGTTTAAATTAGAGTACAGGATTACTGTAAAAGAAAGCTACATGCCTCCCTATTATTTTATTTTACCACAACACCCTTTAAAAGTATGCAAACTCTTGGAGCACCCCATTTTAAAATGTACAAAACAGAAATTTAAAAAATGAGGTGTGGCCTTTCCAAAATCCATATCAGACCCTTAGCCCATATAGGAGACTGGTACGGATTTTAGTGGGGACCCTATTATTATACAGGAATACAATAATAATGGGGTTCCCCCTAAAATGGGGGTCCCTCTTCACATCAGAATAATCTCTTCAAATCAGGAGCCCCCCTTCAGTTCAGAATCCCACCTTTTACATCAGATTCCCCTCTCTCATATTAGAAGCCCCCTTCATATCACAAATGCCCCTTTCACATCAGAGTCTCCCCCTCTCACATTAGAAGCCCCCTTCATATCACAAATGCCCCTTTCACATCAGAGTCTCCCCCTCTCACATTAGAAGCCCCCTTCATATCACAAATGCCCCTTTCACATCAGAGTCTCCCCCTCTCACATTAGAAGGCCCCATTCATATCACAAGTGCCCCTTTCACATCAGCGGTTCCCCTTCATGTCAGGAGACTGCCTGCACCATAGAAAGTTTTGACACTGTGCGCAAATTTCGAGGCACCCCTGAGGCAGGCAGAAGGCACCCTGGTTGAGAAAGGCTGCACTAGTCTACAGGTGCTATCCAAGACTGCAGGTCCACTTTTTTTTAAACTTTCTTTCATATCTTCCCTAACTTTGCCTGTATATTTCATTGAATGCTGTCAGCTGGCATCTCCACACCCTGTCCTGGATTGGTCCCAATAAAAAATGTCCAACTATTCAAAAGGGAGTTTCCAATTATAGTGCTTCTGTCTGCATGTGGGATCCCCGTGGTTTTCTTAAGAGAAGCATTCCTAGATGGCGTTTGGTCTACAAACTAAGTGAAATATTGATAAATATTACATATACATTTTATTTAATATTGTATTTATAACACACAAATACAATTATAACAGTATTGTATTCTCTTCCTTCCATCCCAGGCATCATTACAGAGAACATTGATGAATACAAAGTGTGATCAGGCCAGTTTTTTCTACCATCAATTGTAAAAAAACAAAAAGGAAAAAAATAGAGTGATGGAAAGTTTAATGATAATAATAAAAGGTAATACCAGTTCATATGGAATTTTCTTATCTAACTAGGATCCTTGCAGAGTAACCCTGAGATTTCCACCACCAGCAAATCCAGGAGTTCAGCAGGACTGGCAGCTGAAATATAAGCTTCCCTGCAGCGCCATCTGATGGAGAATTCTGGTACCGACTGTCTAGACTTCAATCTGTTGAGAGCTGTAAACAATTGTGGGGCCAGGGTCCTGGCAACTGTTTACTATGGGCTGCAATGCGCGAGGACCCCTCTATGTTACAACATGGAAGGATATCATTCAAATAGATTTCCAATTAAACTGGTATTTTACCTTAAGGGAACCTGTCAGGATGCAATTATGGAAACTGCCACTGCCGAAATGATTCTGTAGGTCCTTATTCTTGATTTAATGTAAATCTTTCCTTTGGTTAAACGCTATAAAATTGAAATGAAATGGATGAAAAGCAGACACCCTCTGGTGTCTATATACACCCTTCAAACTCTTCTCAGGCAACCCACGACCCCAAAAACCCAGGCTGCTCCTATATACAAATACCAACATGGACAAGCAAGCATCATGGGTTGGCCTGCACCCTACTAGACCAAGCTTGCAGGTCGAGAGTTCGGACTTGCTGCATGCTTGTTCTTCTCAATGATTTATTCAAATAACTAAATCAAGAAATCCAGCCCTATAGTTTGCACCTTCAATACCAGCACTCCCATTTCTTTCCTGACAGGTCCCCTTTAAACACACTTGATAAAAAAAAACCCCATAAACCCTAAAAAAAAGTAAAGCAACATTTTTCTGTTCATCAAACAAGATAATTAAGACAGACACAAAACATATATATATGGCAGACATGTACATAGAAATACGGTTTCCAGCCATGGTGATGTAAAGAGCAGGACAGAGCACAGAAGGCTGATGTGTCCGGCAGAGCCTCCGAATCAAATTATGGCAACGGAATATGGCGGCAGAGGAGAACGTCAGCTCTGTCAAGCAGCGAAGCGTTATAAGATGTGGATAATATGCAGCACATAAGCACTGGAGATATGAAGTAGGCAGCTGGCTGCCATGGACGGACTGGGGGCTCAGGACCTGTTCTTTATTCTTAATATGCAAGCTCCGATTCATCTCAGGAGAGGTGAGAATTTCAGTGGTCAGATTTTTGGTTCTACCTCCAGTGTACAGAAAAAAGTCCCCAAACACTTAAAAACGATTTGCTCCTCAAAAGGTGCGTGGCCTTGGTTAGGGCAAGCCTCAGTTGCCAGCTTCTAATACAATAAGAGAAAGAGTGACATGACTACCAGCAAGTCCTCTCCTAGTAGCCTTATTCCAGGCCCTGTTCACACAACCACCACCATTGCACCTATATTTCACCTATGCCTGCTGGAATAAAGTCACTTGAAAAGGACTCACTAGAAGTGCTGACTCTTAAGTACTTTAATGGAATGGAGGTTACAGGCTGTAAGAGAAGCATGGAAGGGGGATTCTTTAATGTTAAGGGTGCGTTGAGAGCCGTATCAGGAGCCAGGCCGTCATGGGGGCTTCTAAACACAGAGATATATATATATATATAGAAAGAGAGAGAGAGAGAGGAGGGGGGAAAGAGATAGGTGGGGTATCCTTCATGTAGATTAAGTGCAATATTTCAGGGGTACGTGCAGTCTAGTCCTGGGGGGCATGACGAAAAGTGCATCTCCGTCTGAACAGTAGATTCACAGGAATATTTCTGGGGAGAGAACAGGAAAATCATCAGCAAGCAAATAGAATACATGAAAATAACGGTGTTACTGTATGCACCACCTCTAATTATCTCTAGATGATACATATCAGAGTCTACTCTCTTACATAGCAACTCCAACTGTCACATAAGAAAACAACAGATCACAGCCGTACATATCAAAGCTCAATGCAGCCAATTTTGTTTGTGTGTGTTAAAAGATATAGAACCCCCATCAAGTTCATTCTGCTGTAAAAGCCGCAGCCCCTGCAGCTGTCTGTCAACCCATCGTCACTGCATCTGCTAGGATGCTTTGCCGCCAATTTTCCACCCAGCTCCTTCAATTTTTCAGTAGACTTTTGCTGCCAACAGATGAAATGCAGTCGCAATTTTGCCTTTACCACTCAAGTGTCAAGCAAAAATAATTGTATTTTTTAAAAGAAATGATATAATATTTTGCTCCTCCTTTTAACTTTGTGTATAAATATGTGGATTTCAGAACCATTTCCAATATTCCATATAAGGCATCCCAAAAGCTTGCATCTTCAGTAAGTTGTTAGCAAATAAAGGTCGTCACCTAATCTCCAATCTTTCTAACCTCTACCCCAAATTGCTGAGTTCTGAAGCTTAGTACTGGGTAAGAAGAAACATTTTAGTTAGTTAGGGAGGCACTGATACTAGTATCAGTACCGGTACTGAGTATTTGAGCGAGTACTCGTATTCGCCCAAATGTTCCCGATACCAGAACTTCCGGTATCAGGAAGCCGGGAGGAGAGTCATTATCGGGGAGCATGGAGCTGGCTTCCTGACTAGCCTGGAAGCCGGCTCCATGCTCCCTTGTCACTTTGTGACGAGGGAGCATGGAGTCGGCTTCCCGGCTAATCAAGAAGCCGAGAGACGTGT